TGAGGCAAGCGAATTGCTTAAGCCCAAGAGTTTGAGGTTGCTATGAGCTGTGATGCCAAGCACTCTACCGAGGGTGACAAAGTGAGACTCAGTCTCAAAAAAAAAAAACAAAAACTCAATATTATCTTAGTACTAAGAAGCAGGAAAAAAAACAACTGGAGCAAACCTGACTATTATATATATATTTTGTCTGGTCTCTTAGTCCTGTAAACAGATCAGTTTAGCTAAACAGCTGTGTCTCATTCCATGAGCTGGCACGGCAGACAAGGCTAGAATCTAAGACAGGTGGATGATAATTTTTCATTTTTGAATCATATTCTTCTCTCTAGTTTTCCATTTTATTCAGGTCTGATGATTTGCATAAAGTACAGTAAGAATAATTATTAGCCATCTACGCTTTTCTTTCTTTTTTTGGCCCGGGGCTGGGTTTGAACCCGCCACCTCCTATATATGGGGTGAAACCCTAATCCTTTGAGCCAGAGGCACCACCCTAGGCTTTTCTTTCTTTTAAAATTGGCTTTGCTGGAACCTTTTATAGAGATTCGAAAGCCTCTCCTAAGGTTTCATCTGTGTCATTAGATACCTGTATGCATTGAGTAAATTCTTCTTTTCTTGAGGTCCCAAAGTGATCTTGGTTTCCTAAACCTGTCAGCAAGTGACATTCTTTTATTTTTTAGAGTCTCACTTTGTCACCCTCAGTAGAGTGCAGTGGTGTCAGAGCTCACAGCAACCTCAAACTCTTGGGCTTAGGTGATTCTCTTGCCTCAGCCTCCCGAGTAACTGGGACTACACGCGCCTGCCACAATGCCTGGCTATTTTTTTGTTGTTGCAATTTGGATGGGGCCAGGTTCGAACCTGCCACCCGCAGTATATGGGGCCAGCACCCTACTCACTGAGCCACAGGCGCCGCCAAGCAAGTGACATTCTTTACTCACCACAGATCAGAAAATGTTATTGATAAGATATTTATTTAGTTTTTCCAATGGGCATTTTATAGGCCTTATAAGGTCAACATTAATTTTTTAATGCAGTCTAGACACCTCTGAAAATGTCATTGCATTCAAAGCCTTGGTAAAACAACCAGCGTCTTTCCCTGTGTCCTACAGAAGAAAACAGATTCTTATTGAACTTATGTTAATTACTATATCACCATAAATTAAAAATATTTACAAATAGTTTTCAAATTTGGGGAAATCAAATAGAAAAAAATAAATATTTCAAATTTTGCTTACAAATACATTCATTTGTTGTAAGCTATAAACAGCTCAAAAGATGGAAAAGGATTTTCTTCACTTCTGGGAATCAAAACACAGAAAGAATCATCAATGTTTCCAACAGAAAGTCATAAAAATTAGCTCAGTGCCATGTAATTAATTTCTGTTCTGTGTGAGGTTAAGTTAGCAACACTCACAGGTATGTTCTGGGAGTTTGCTTTTATTACGGTGGTATATAATCTCCAAAGCTATCAGAAATTTGTATTCAAGAGAACCTGTCAGCCTTTCCACTACTTTCTTTGAAGGACAAACTCAGGACCCAGCCAGTTAAAAAAATACTTTCTGAGATGAATCAAAATAAAACAATTGTCGGCTTGGCGCCTATAGCTCAACCGGCTAAGGCGCCAGCCACGTACACCTAAGGTGGCGGGTTCTAATCCCCAGCCCGGACCCGCCAAACAACAATGACGGCTGCAACCAAAAAATAGCCGGGCGTTGTGGTGGGCACTTGTGGTCCCAGCTACTTGGGAGGCGGAGGCAGGAGACTCGCTTGAGCCCAGGAGTTGGAGGTTGCTGTGAGCTGTAATGCCATGGCACTCTACCCAGGGGGACAGCTTGAGGCTCTGTCTCAAAAAAAATAAAAAATAAAAAATAATAAAACAATTGTCTAGGAAAACAAAGGTCCTAGAACAGCCGTGGTTAGAGAGACAACCACTCTGTCACCCTTGGTAGAGTCCCGTGGCATCAGAGCTCACAGCAATCTCAAACTCTTGGGCTTAAGCAATTCTCTTGCCTCAGCCTTCCAAGTGTTGGGACTACAGGCACCTGCCACAATGCCCAGCTATTTTGTTGTTGTTGTTGTTGTTGTTGCAGTTGTCATTGTTGTTTAGCTAGCCCAGGCCGGGTTTGAACCCATCATCCTGGGTGTATGTGGCTGGCGCCCTAACCACTGAGCTATGGGCGCCACCCTACCTTAATGCTTTGAAGGTTTACTTTCTTCTAGTTAGCCAAAAGCCTAACAAAGGCAACAAAAGGATTATCTAGATGAGGCATAAGATCTGTGTTTCTTTCAGTCCAGTTATGGAAAAGGTTAAGTTAAAAAAAAAAAAAAACCTTCTAAAGTGTGATTTTTAAATTAAAAAGAAACATGTCATGTAATTTCATTAAGAGTGGATTAATATTTCAAGAAAACTTGGTTGTTTTAACCAAACTTTATAAATTATAGCCAACTAGATCACATATAAATTTCTTCATAAATGTCCTCTTATGACATCTATCCAAACCTACACAGATTATTGGCAAACCTGTTAAAAACCTTGTGTTTCAGCCTCATTTTCCCTTCTCTTAAATAACCAGTCATTCTATTTCAGAACAAAAGTTTACCGCAAAAGAGCTTTTCTTGTTCAATATTATTTGACTTTCTGTTTAACCTTTCTTATTAAAAACATTTTACATAAGATAGGATCACAGTTTACTATAAAGCCATTTACTTAGCCAAATGGATAACTAAGAGATTTTAAAAGGCAAAATTTTATTTTATGATAAAGACAAGACTCAGTTTGCCAAACAATCATGACATCTAACATGGACAGATGGAGTGTGGAGGAGGCTTGGTTTCCCAATCTTAAGACCTTCTATAAACCACTGAACTATTATACAAAAACGTGTACCAAAATCTTGTTCACATTATTTCATTACATTAGTGTATTAATAATAAAGCCAATTTCTTTCTTTCTTTCTTTCTTTTTTTTTTTTTGAGATAGAGCCTCAAGCTAACGCCCTGGGTAGAGTGCCATGGCATCAAAGCTCACAGCAACCTCCAATGCCTAGGCTCAAGCGATTCTCCTGCCTCCACCTCCCTACTAGCTGGGAATACAGGCGCCCGCCACAACGCCCAGCTATTTTTTGGTTGCAGTCGTCATCGTTGTTTTGGTTATCATAACGTCAACTCTTAGAGAAACCCAGGACATTAAAGTGACTTTTTTTTGAGACAGAGTCTCACTTTGTCCCCCTGGATAGCAAAAGTAGCCTCTCCAAGACTGTTCTGCCTTCCTTGAAAATGCAGGCATTTTTACAGAAAGTTACCAAGAAAAGGCATCTCAAGAATTGCAACTTATCCAAAACTTAATCTACAGCAACATCAAAGTCATCTTCACTGTAACAGTGGAACACTATCTTCTCTTCCTTGTGCTGCTCTGGCGAGGATTGTTTGCTCAGTTCCTTAGGATGTAAATCTTCAGGCTCGGGGCCTGTGGCTCAAGCGGCTAAGGTGCAAGCCACATACACCTGAGCTGGTGGGTTCAATCCAGCCCGGCCCGCCAAACAACAATGATGGCTGCAACCAAAAAATAGCCAGGCATTGTGACGGGTGCCTGTAGTCCCAGCTACTTGGGAGGCAGAGGCAGGAGAATCACTTGAGCCCAGGAGTTAGAGGTTGCTGTGAGCTGTGATATCACAACATTCTACCCAGGGTGACAGCTTAAGGCTCTGTTTCAAATAAAAAAAAAAAAAGATATACATCTTCATGGCCTAGGTCTGGGGTTTGGTGACATCAAGGAAAAAGAATGTTTTGGTGGGGGGTGTCCTACTTTTAATTTTAACTACTCCTACATTAGCCCAACCAACTCCATTTTCCTATTTCTCTTCACTAACAGGCCTATGGAGTTACTCTTGAGTTTAGGACAGGGTTTCCAACCAGTCATTTAGAGTCAAAGCTGGTGACCTCTAGAGGCCAGGCAGAAAATGACTGCCAGGGATGAAAACCAGGGGAGCTACAGAATTAGCTCCCCAGAATTTGTCTTCACAGGCAGAAGCACAGTTCTTGTGAGTCCTAGAACTGTTGTTTTTTAAAATGTGCACAGCCTCCTGAGATAATTATTTCAGCTGGAGAAATGGGTTTGGGGAGAGGATTTTAATAGTCCTATTGCCTCATAATGACCTCATGTTCTAACATGGACATGGGAGGCAAGGCATGGAGAGCATGTTAGAGAAGTTGTTAACAGGAGCCTTACTTACAGTGTAAAACATGGGCTTGTAACAAAAAATTACAGTAGTAAGTTTTAAAAAGTCTAGAACAGAGGGCGGCGCCTGTGGCTCAGTGAGTAGGGCGCTGGCCCCATATACTGAGGGTGGCAGGTTCAAACCTGGCCCCCGCCAAACTGCAAGAAAAAAAATTATCTGGGCATTGTGGCAGGTGTCTGTAGTCCCAGCTACTCAGGAGGCTGAGGCAAGAGAATCACCTAAGCCCAAGAGCTGGAGGTTGCTGTGAGCTGTGACTCCACAGCACTCTACTGAGGGCGACAAAGTGAGACTCTGTCTCTAAAAAAAAGTCTAACACACTGGCTGAGCAACATGGGGTCATTCTATGTACTCCTTGAGACAACAGGCGCATGTCTATAAGATTATTTTAAGTGAAAAAGATAAATACAACAGAGTGAATGCACACAGAAGGATTTCAGGAAAATTAATGTTAGTCAAAGCCACAGCCCAGTTTAAGCTGACAAAATAATCATTGCTTGTTGTTTTTTTTTATAGTTGCTCAAATTCATAAGGAAACTGAAGAAAGTTCCTATCTTACGAGTGTGCTAACTCCCCACTTCTTCCTGAGCCAGGTCCTTAAACAATGCCATTTCATTATTCTCCTGTAGGTTAATTCTTAGGAAATCAGCAAGCATACAGATAGATGCCCTTACAGTGAATCCATAAACAGTTCCTGCTTTGCACACACCTCGAAGAGGGAGCCCCCATACGGGGAGGGGAGGAAGGAAGTTAAAAGCTGTTAAATACTGGGGCAGCCGTCCTGCTCAGCCTGACTGTCCAGCTGTACAGCCAACATGAAGACTCTCCTTCTCCTGGGCCTTGTCCTTCTCTCTGCCCCCACCCAGGGCAAGGTCTATGAGAAGTGTGAGCTTGCCAGAACGCTGAAACGGATGGGAATGGATGGCTACCATGGCATCAGCCTGGCAAACTGTAAGTCTGCTGTGCTTCCTACCGCAGAGTTAGCCCAGTGTGGCGACAGTGCGAGGGAAGGAACACAGGACAGGCTCTGAGTTTTTCTTTGTGGGTTAGTGTACTTAGAATGATTAAAAACATCAGCGTCGTCCTTTACTGTGAGGCATGGATGAAGGAATGAGGACAAGGGAAGGGAAAACTGTACCTTATTCTAAGTAAAACAGGACCTGCTGTGCTGTTCCAGAGCCGGTAAGTCTGCCCATGGCCTCAGACCAGCGGTGCACATGGGCGGCCTGAAGGGCGAACTTGAGGACCTGCTGAAACTCGGCCTTAACTCCAGTATTTTCCCATTTATACCTTGTGCTCTGAGAGCCTAGGGGATGCAGTAATTTTCTTTTTTTTTTTTTTTTAATTCCCTGCCACAAACGTGGCATTTTAACAGTAAAGATTTTAGAAAATTATTTTGAATTCCCCCTACCAGGGTGCACATGGGCGGCCTGAAGGGCGAACTTGAGGACCTGCTGAAACTCGGCCTTAACTCCAGTATTTTCCCATTTATACCTTGTGCTCTGAGAG